ATAAACAGTTAGGACATAAGCACTTCTGCTTGTCAACCCTTGATATACGTAATTTTACACAAAGTAGGGAAATACAGAGAGTCAGAGTGGAGACGTAAACACAAATAGAATGATGGAAAGTGATAGAAGGCATTTTTCGCAGCAAGAAAGGGTATGCAAATGAATGGAAGCAAAGAAAAGATGGCGGGAAAGAAACAACGAATATATGGCGGAAAAGAAAGAAAGAAAGCAATGATGGTGGAAAAGATAACAGAAAGGCAGTGGCAAATATATCAGGCGAAATAAGCAAAGATGGTGAAAATAATTGAAAGATATGGCGGAAAAGAAAGACAAAAAAGATGGCGGCAAAGAAGACAAAAAGAAAGAAAAGAGCAGAAAAAAATGAAAAGAAAGGATAACCGAAAAATAAGAAAGAATAAATGAAGGACAAGAAAAGCTTTTTGAAATATAATAGTTTTTTTTTGTCGGCATCCACTCTCATTCGAGCATTGGAATCGTCATCCTCTCTCCCTATTCTGTTTCTCTCTCCTAGTGTTGGAAATGTCTGTGAATCAAAAACAGTTTGACGAGGCCATTCGCATGAATTTCATTTTGGTGGGTAACTCTGCCCGACGGAAAAGCTCACACACTTGACCAGAAGCGCCTCCCTCGCGGCTCGAAAGGGATTGAGACAGGCAAGATCTGGCAAATCTGGTTGCATCAGGCTCTCGGGTGCTTGATCTATCAAGCTTGGCGTTGATTACATCACCCCCTATTGGTGCTGCCCTCTTCCACAGGTTTTGCCTTTGATATCGTGTACATCTCTGCCTGATTCGCCGTTGTGGTCTTCGGGTGATGGCCAATAGGTTTTATCACATTCAAAGCCTGCTTGAAAAGGAAGAAAAGAAAGATGGCGTAAATAACAAAACATTCATTAAAAAAAAGAAAGAAAGAACGAAAGAAAGAAAGAAACGGAAAGTAAATTTAAATAAATGACAAAGGAAGCAATAATATACATTCGTAGAGGCATTCCTCTAATGATGACACTGATAAAAACAAATCATTTCTGAACAAAGATATAAACATTAGCAAGAATATTATTGAAAATACTTCTGTGTCGCATACATTCAGGTCATGGGTGATCATGGCTTTCCAAATTCCCCCACTTGTCGCCTTTCGTTGTGATCAGCTTTTAAGCCTTCCCGTTCAGCCATCCCATCAGTCAGATTCTCGCTGCCTTTCCCTATCTCTTTTTCTCTCTAGATACACTATTCTCTCTCATTCAGAAGCATACATGCATATATATATATATATATATATATATATATATATATATATATATATATATATATATATATATATATAAGTGTATATATGTATTACTTCAAATCATATTATAGTGGACAATTAGTATTTGAAAGCGTCTTCCTATTTTTATTTATTAAACAAATTATATTACTTCTCTAGGAATGCGCATTCGAGAAATCACGTGAATACACAGGCCAATAGACTTAATGTATACTCTTTAATAAGAATGGGGCGTCTCTTTCAAATACGAAGTTTCGACTATAAGGATGCTTATAGTGCATATATATATATATATATATATATATATATATATATATATATATGTATGTGTGTGTGTGTGTGTGTGTGTGTGTGTTTACCCTGACGAGCCGAGTAGGTGAAACCTAGGTAGGTTTGTCTGGCTCTTTAGGTTTACTTAGTTTGCCATACTTAGTGTATTGAGCACTTTACTTAGTTAAGTTTACTTTACTCGTGTCGGGTTTTTTTTCTTTGGACTCTGAACTTAGATTCTAGACGATTATTATTTTGAGACATTTTTATGTTTTTATGTTTATACATAAAAATATTTAAGTAAATGCTCTGTTTATAATAAACGGAATTTAACAACATTTACCGTCCTGAATGTCCGAGAAATCACAGAAAATATTCGTCCTCCGACAGGATTTGAACCTGTATCCTATACAGAACCATCATTCAGCTTAGAGTGCCTTTACCGATTTGGCCACAGGTCGAATTTATTGTATTTGAACTTCAGTTTTCTATGAATCTCTCATGTACATTCATATCTGCTCATATTGTGTGACGTCATTTGTTTACATTTGATACGCCATGAGCAGATATTATAAAGTTTTGTACAAGAAAAATTTATTTAAATATATATATATATATATATATATATATATATATATATATACATATATATTTATACATATATATTTATATATATATATATATATATATATATATATATATATATATATATATATAATTGTGTGTGTGTGTGTGTGTGTGTGTATACTAATATAATCGGAAAGAACTGTTAGATTGATGATCCGAAGTTCTTTAGTATTTTTGTTTTAATTTTTTCTAAAAAGTACTCAATACAGAAGTAGAGCCTAGATTATAATTATTATATTTTTTTTAAATACAACCCCATCTTAATGCTAACGCCCCTTTAGGAAAACAAAAACAAAAAAAATAACTAAATAAACATCAAAAAGTACCGAAACTGCAACAACAATCAGTTAGAGTTTTAGCAGACAGTAATAAAAAAAAAACAACAGCACACCAAGATCAGTGAGTTAGAATTTTAGTATGAGATTCATAAGATTAGCCAGTGGAGCCAGACACAAAGAAAAACAGCCCAACCTTACACCTCTCCAAAAATTTATCATATAACAAACACCCCTACTTCCAAAAAAGCAGAGACCCCTTGATAAAGAAAAGCAAGGCCTAGATCACATCCTCCATTGCAAAACTATCAATAAGTAAAATATTTCGTTGCTTAGTTATTCCAAACATAGCTTGATGATGAGATTGCCATCCAGTAGTTAAGGTTTAATATTGAAATTAAACTTGAATACTGCTGACCAAAATCAAAACAGTAATTTCTGTGTCACGATGGAATCATATTTTTTTAAATAATTATAACACACACACACACACACATATATATATATATATATATATATATATATATATATATATAATATATATATATATAAATAAACAAAAATTAACATGTTACATGTACGAGCTTTCTTAACCAAACTCCATTTAACCGTAGGTGTTTTATTCTTATCCTTTAGATTCCAAAAATACTTGGATAATGAAGTCATGTATCTATATTCACTGTGATTAAAGGATTGCATATGCCCCCGCAGCGTTCCTTGAATGTTTTCATGGTAGAACCAATGTAAAACTTCTTTATATTTGGATTTTCAATTGTTGAAATAGTACCAAGATAGACTACAGAAGTAATCCCACAGTTAGTTTGTAGTTGACAATTATTCGGATTCCTTCAATTACATAAGTTGTTATTTGTATTCTTATATTTAGTATTGCAGTTAGTAACCTGTTGATTAGTCAAGCCTTTTGAATTCCTATACTTGTTAAAGACTATGTTGTTATGTTTTTAATTATCTTCTCAGGTTATCAGCACAACTATAGCTTAATTTAAAGGGTATTACGATTAAATATTTTACTAAGTGGGTTAGTTTCAGGGTTGGGGAAATGTTTTTTGATGAGGTTTTTAGAAATATACGCCCTAATTTAGTTTTAACCATTACATTGAAAGGGGGAGTGAACCAAATAATCTTTCTATATCTTCTTTTCTTATTATGGTTGCAATTAACAGGGTTTTTATATTGAATAGTGGTATTTTTGTATCCACTATTTTTTAGTGCAGAATTATAAAAATCACTATGTTTATTGAAAACCTCCTTATTATAAGAGTTAGCGCTAATTCTAAATTCAATGGAAGAGGGTATATGTTTGATGACTGAAGGGGGATAGTTGGATTTAGGATGCACGTATAATGGGTTGGAATTAACCTTCACATATGGTTGGAAAATGTTGTTAGCAAGATCTAGGGTGACATCTAGAAAATCCACTTGTCTAACATTAGTAGTAACTATTGTCCTAAGACCTAAATCCTTAAATACCCTATAGATCATTTTCCTAATACGGTCTACCTTAATTTTAGTCGAGTTTTTAACAACTAATAATCCATCATCTCTATACAATCCTACACTATCTGAATCTAGACAATCGAATATATATATATATATAAACAAAAATTAACACCAAAAATAAGATGGAAGTTAGGGAAAACCGCATCGGCCTATAATAATAAATCCCAAAACTGTCAATCTGGAGGAGAAAATAGCTATAATTACCTTCCCAGAGCAAAACAAAGTATTAAATAAACGATCAAGACTTATCTCAAAATGCAAACATGAAAACAATTTTTTACTAGGTTACTTTAAAGTCAAAAATCAAAAACAAACAAGTCTGGGCATTTCCGTTGTGTTTTTGCTCGACAATTTATGTTATTTTGGTGAGCAGTAACGTTTTCGCATTGAGTGGAAATAATTCAGGATCCAAATGCAGTTTTTATAGTGTTCTTAGTTACTTATTTTTATTATTATTTTATTGTCGGTTGTTATTACTACATTTACTTGTGTTTATCCCTGTGTACGTGGTTTGTTACTGTGTTTATTATTTACTTAGTTTATTTACTTAATTATTTCAATTAAATTATTTTACTTGTTTTTGTTTATTATTTAATTTTTCCTTTATTTATGTTCGTTTTCAGTTTTTGATTTTTGAGTAATGTAGTAAAAATTTAAGTAATGAAGTAAAAAATTGTTTCCATGCCTTCATTATTAGATGAGTGGGGTAGCAGAAGAACGTATTATATCAAGTCACATACCTTGCCACTGCTGTAACGGAGCTTTCCTACACACGTTCGTTGTCTATATAAACTTACATGACATTTTTTCTGATGGCCTTTCATCTTTGGTGATACGACTTCACGAATTCAAGCGTAGCGCTATATTGGCAGTTAGGTCTCATTATTTTAATGTTGAAATTGCTATATTAAACCTATGCTATATTCCTATATTTATGTTCTCCCACACTTCACGCTTGTGAAATATTCTCTCCATTTCTTTCTTTCTCCTCAGATTAAAATCGTCACCTTCTGTTTAAGTATGCGGCTATTTCATGTTGGAACACTCGTTCTCATCCGATCCCCGAAGTTAAGCAACGTTCACCCTGGTCAGTACTTAGACAGGTGTTCGCTCGGGAATACCGGATGTTGTAAG